GTTGTACATTACATACTCCTGACCCCTGCACTATTATACTCTGTGTTGTACATTACATACTCCTGACCCCTGCACTATATACTCTATGTTGTACATTACATACTCCTGACCCTACACTATATACTACTCTGTTGTACTTTACATCCTCCTGACCCCTGCACTATATATTGTATGTTGCACATTACATACTCCTGACCCCTAAACTATATACTCTATATTGTACATTACATACTCCTGACCCCTGCACTATATACTTTATATTGTACATTACATACTCCTGAACCCTGCACTATATACTCTATGTTGTACATTACATACTCCTGACCCTGCACTATATACTTTATGTTGTACATTACATACTCCTGACCCCTGCACTATATACTCTATGTTGTACATTACATACTCCTGACCCCTGCACTATATACTTTATATTGTACATTACATACTCCTGACCCCTGCACTATATACTGTATGTTGTACATTACATACTCCTGACCCCCTGCACTATATACTTTATATTGTACATTACATACTCCTGAACCCTGCACTATATACTCTATGTTGTACATTACATACTCCTGACCCTGCACTATATACTCTATGTTGTACATTACATACTCCTGAACCCTGCACTATATACTCTATGTTGTACATTACATACTCCTGACCCTGCACTTTATATACTTTATATTGCACATTACATACTCCTGAAACTTACACTATATACTCTATGTTGTACATTACATAAATCTCCTACTATATATAGTCCTAACTGTTGTAGCCTATACAATATGTTGTACATTCCATACTCCTGACTTCTACTCTCATACTCTATTCACTGCTATATATAAACATTGTGACGGAACACCTGTCACCCCATTGGGGATTCCATCAGAGAAATACTTCCTCGCCGCTGGGGAGATGAGCTGGTTGCTTCATCTCCTTGACTCTTGGACTCCCGTTGTGGAGTGAGGATGACTTCCTGCAGTCACTACACTGCTGCTGGGAAGGGAGGACTGACCACCTCCTCTCCTGGACTGTGAAGCTGCCGCTGGGGAGATGAGCCGGTTGCTCCATCTCCTGTACCCTCATCCGGCTACTGGGACAACATTTCTCTGGTACTGTCTCCCTGGTGCATGGATCACTTGCTGGTAAGGGAAAACTGTTTCCTCTGCTCTGGCTGACTGCTGTGGAGGGAGGATGACCACCTCTTCTCCCGCACTGTGGATCTGCCCCTGGGGAGGGTCAGGATGGCCCCCTTCTCTCCCTGGACCCCTGGAACTGCTGAGGGTGTGGGGCAGTGGTCTTGGTCCCTACTGTACTGCTGCCAGCACTTCTGCTGGGACTGTGTATGGGCAGTAATCTGCTTCGCTGCCAGTGCTTCAGCTGGGGTTAGGAGTTCCACTGTATCAGCCTGCTGCTGGGCTAAAGAAGGGCTGCCCGCTCTGGTGCTTCCTGGAGTTCCGGAAGTGCTGTTGACCTCGAGTATGGAGGAAGAATGGAGAGGCCCAAGGACCCCTGAGGACCCGAGTATGGAGGAAGAATACAGAGGCCAGGGGCGCTCTGCCCTGATGCCAGCTCTTCCGCTATGGAAAAAAATGAGAAAATTCAGTGGCCTTGCCCAAATCCTCCAGGGCCACCAATTGTTGTAGGCAGGGGTCAGCAGTGCCTTGCCTTGATGCCAGCTCTTCTGCTGAAAGCTCACTGGGTTGTTCCCCTCAGCAGAAAAGTCTATTAAACTGCCAGTGCCCTGGAGCTGGTGGCTGAGGATATATTCACGATCTCCTGTCCCTGGAACGCAGGAGATGTTACCGGTGCTGGGCAGAGGCTTGCAGAGCTCTGCCCTGATGCCAACAGTTCTTTTGGAAGCTCAATAAATGTTACATCCTCCAATGAAAAGTCAATCAAATCCATGCTTTCTGGGATCTGTGGCTGGGGAGTGAGGGCAGCTTCCTTCTCCCGGGTCCTGGAATTGGCACTGGGGAGATGAGCTGGCTGCTCCACCTCCCATACCCTCATCTGGCTATTGGGCTGACGCATTCCCCCATACATTAAGCTCGTCCTGTGCAGAAAAAGGTTCTTCAAGGTGAGTCAACACTTGTTGCATCCGCCATACAGAGCTCCGCTTCTCCTGAGTTGCAGATGGAGGTGCGCAAAGCACATTACATACTTTGCCCCATTGCGACTACTTACCCGATAGTCCCAGGCAAAGGGAGTCCATACCCTGACCCTGCTGAGCAGCGTCTAGCAACCATCTGTAGGTACATCTCCATCTCCCATTCCTGAACAGCTATAAACTCCAAATCTTCCCGTGCCCATGTACATACTCTGAAGATGTCACAATTCTGGTATGTTGTACATTCCATGATTTCCTCCAAACGCCCCTGCACTCCCAAAGTCATGTTGTACATAGCTACCAGTACAACTGACCCATAGCACAAAGCTCTATCCTTTGGGCTGTCATACACCTGTCCCTGGCACACTATGGGCTACATTACATACTCCTGAGGCACTCTGTAGCTCTCTTCCAGTACACATCCTCACCCCTGCTTAACTCAGCTGCCCACTTCACTTGTGAGGATTTTTGACCCCTGCACTATATACTCGCATGTTGTACTTACATACTGCTGACCCCTGCACCTTTCTTGGGTTGGAGACATTTTTCCCTGGTGACCCCTGCACTTTATACTTCCTCCATGTTGCTGGCAGACGGAATCACTCCTGATCCCCCTGGACTATGCTCTGGTACTGTCCTCAACATACTCCTGACCCCTTCATATATGGCTGGTATGTTGTTCCTCTCCACCTCTCCTAACCGGACCTGCACTATCCCGGTGGTGTTTGGATGTCCCAGACGTCAGAAAGCTTCCTCCACCTCCACCAAATGTGACAGGACCACCTATCACCCTGATTGGGTGATATCTGCATCCTCAGGCTTGAGTGATGGTGGTCATCTTCCCTCCCCCAGCAGCAGTTCCACAGTCTGGGAGAAGAGGTGGTTGTCCTTCCCCCTCCCGGTGATGGTTTTTGATGTCCCAGACTTCAGGAAGAATCCCACCACCTCCACCAAATGTGACGGACCACCTATCACCCCAATTGGGTGAGATCTGCATCCTCAGGCTGGAGAGATGGTGGTCATCCTCCCTCACCAGCAGCAGTTCCATAGTCCGGGAGAGGAGGTGGTTGTCCTTCCCCCTCCCAGTGGTGGTTTGGATCCCCCTGACATAAGGAGTGCATGTTGGTTGACGGATGTCTACAGACCCTCAATGATTGGGTGACATCTGCATCCTCAAGGAGTGATGCATCACCCACCGCCTCCCTCCCCAGCAGCAGTTCCACAGTTGTAGATGTTGGTTGTCCTTCCCCCTCACCTCTCATGGACTTCAGGAAGAATCCCACCACCTCCACCAAATGTCCATCACCCCAATTGGGTGAGATCTGCATCCTCAGGCTGGAGAGATGGTGGTCATCCTCCTCACCAGCAGCAGTTCCATAGTCTCCAGGTTGGAGAGGAGGTGGTTGTCCTGCCCCCTCCCGGTGGTGGTTTGGATGTCCCAGACTTAAGGAAGCATCCCACTACCTCCACCAAATGTGACGGACCACCTATCACCCTCATGGGGTGAGATCTGCATCCTCAGGCTGGAGAGATGGTGGTCATCCTCCCTCCCCATCAGCAGTTCCACAGTCCAGGAGAGGAGGGGGTTGTCCTCCCCCTGATGGTGGTTTGGATGTCCCAATTTCAGGAAGCATCCCACCGCCTCCACCAAATGTGACGGACCACCTATCACCCCAATTGGGTGAGATCTGCATCCTCAGGCTGGAGAGATGGTGGTCATCCTCCCTCCCCAGCAGCAGTTCCATAGTCCAGGAGAGGAGGTGTTTGTCTGTTCAATAAAGCAGTTTCAGTTTTGCATCTAAGCTGGTGTCCTCTAGTCTTGAGTGCAGTGCCCGGCTATAATACCTTGGTCCTGTGTCCCAGCGGCGAGGAAGCAGTTCTCTGATGAAATCACAGGTGGTCCATCACAAACATAATATCTATTGTCTTTTGTTACACACATTTTCTACCAGCTGGACATTGTGTATCTGATGATGTGATTGGAGCACAAACTTTTACATGGTGATAATAATGTGATAACATCCTCCAACTTTGGACCCTTAAACAGAAAGTGATAATGAGGGAGGAGTCAATACCCCAATGATGGTGGTCTTCAGGATCACTCCAGTCTTCATCTTGGTTGTTCTCCCCCCCATCTTCACTCTCTGACCTCTGGTGGGGCTCAGCCCCGCTGTTCTTCATGACTGAATCATGGAGTAAATAAGGAAGTGCAGTACTTCTTGTGTTGGGAAGATGGCGATGAGTGATAGAGGGGGTGGGGACCCTCGTCCTATAATCCCCTCATCACTGTCCCTCCTATAAAAGACAGTTCTGGTTGTTTCCTCACTCTCTGACTAAGGTCCATGAATAAAGAAATGACCTGGTAGGAGAATCAGAGGAGCCATTTCCTAGTTCCCTTGAGGGTGGAATTGTAAGCTCCTCAGAGACCAAGCTGCCTGATGTGGGCGGAGTCTGGTTTGGGGGAACCAATCAGCTCCTGTGTAGTAATCCTCTTTGTCTTTGTATTTTAGTCCATGGCCGGGAGATGAGGAAAACCTCCGAGGATTGTCTCACTTTGTCTCCAGACTGGAAAGTAGAAGATGAGGACATCACACAGTATAGTCCAGGAGAAAACCCGGCTCCCTCCAATGTCCATCCGGCACCACCCAGTGTAGATGGACCATCGGATTCCTCGTATCCTGAGGAACCTCAGACTGTGCGGAACCGGGCCGGCCTGCCAACAGAGAAGAGGTTCTCCTGTACTGAGTGTGGGAAGGGTTTCCGTTTTAAATCCCATCTTACTGTACATAAAAGATCTCACACAGGTGAGAAGCCGTATCCCTGCCTTGAGTGCGGGAAATGTTTTTCACATACATCCCATCTTTACAGACATGAGAGATCTCACATGAAGGAGAAGCAGTTTTCCTGTCCTGAGTGCGGGAAATGTTTTCCAAATAAATCAAAGCTTGTCAAACATCAGAGATCTCATACGGGGGAGAAGCCGTTTTCCTGTTCTGAGTGCGGGAAATCTTTTCTACATAAATATGAACTTGTCAAACATCAGAGGTCTCACACGGGGGAGAAGCCATTTTCCTGTCCTGAGTGTGGAAAATGTTTTTCAGATAAGTCCAATTTTTATCATCATTGGAGACTGCACACAGGTGAGAAACTTTATTCCTGTAATGAGTGCGGGAAATGTTTTTCACAGAAGTCCAATTTTCATAATCATCGGAGATTGCACACAGGTGAGAGGCCGTATTCCTGTACTGAGTGTGGGAAATGTTTTGCACAAAAATCAGTACTTGTCTCACATCAAAAGTCTCACACGGAGGAAAAGCCGTATTCCTGTCCTGAGTGCGGGAAATGTTTTTCACAGAAGTCCAATCTTTACAGACATCAGAGATCTCACATGGGGGAAAAGCCCTATTCCTGCCCTGAGTGCGGAAAATGTTTTTCAGAAATGTCCTATCTTATTAATCATCAGAGATTACACACAGGTGAGAATCTGTATTCCTGTTCTGAGTGCGGGAAATGTTTTATACGAAAAGCAGAACTTATCATACATCAAAGGTCTCACACAAAGGAAAAACCATATTCCTGTCCTGAGTGCGGGAAATGTTTTTCACAGATATCCCATGTTTACAGACATCAGAGATCTCACACGGGGGAAAAGCCGTATTCCTGTTCTGAGTGCAAAAAATGTTTTTCAGAAATGTGCCATCTTCTCAATCATCAGAGATTGCACACGGGTGAGAAGCCGTATTCCTGTTCCGAGTGCGGAAATGTTTTAGACAAAAATCAATACTTGTGACACATCAGAGATCTCACTCGGGGGAGAAGCCGTATTCCTGCCCTGAGTGCGGGAAATGTTTTTCAGTGAAGTCCAATCTTTCCAAACATCAGAGAGCTCATGCCGGGAAGAAACCACTTTCCTGTACTGAGTGAAGGATTTTTTAACTTTTCATAAGATCAGAGGTCACCAAAGACATGGACGAAGTGTGGGACCGGGTTGGCCATTGATAGCAGGAGAAGAATAAAAATGGAGTCATCACCTTTCATTGGTAAATGTTGTGATGTAAGCTTTGACAAACACTTAGAGAGCTGTTAAAAGTTCAAAGAATGTGACACGCATTCGCCCAGCTGTGGCAAATGTTGGTCGTTTCTTATTTCATATGATTTCTTCTGATCTTTGGCTCCATCTGTGGCCATAAAGCGGTATTGCTCTATTTTTCCTGATGGAGTTTTTTCAGGAATAATACCTCATTGTGGCCACTAGATGGAGCTGACCATCATAGGAAATCACTGTGTAAATTACAGTTAGAATTCATCACCGCTGGGCAAATGCGTGTCCCATTGGTCAACGAAAAAAACAAACAAACCTACTTATCAATCCCTTACTTTACTATGTCAGACGTGGTATACTAACCCCTTGTCCTCCAGAGGATTTCCCCCCCCCCTTCCTGACCAGGCCATCTTTTGCGTGACAGCGCTGCATTACTTTAACTGACAATTTCACGGTCGTACAACGCTGCACCCAAATGAAATTTGTGTCCTTTTTGTATATTTTCCCTGCAAATTGATCTTTCTTTCGGCGGTATTTGATTGCCTGTGCATTTAACTTTTTGCGCTATGAAAAAAAAAAAAGAGCGACAATTTTGAAAAACAAAACAATATTTTTTACTTTTTGCGATGAAACATGTCCAGTAAAAAATCTAATTTCGTCAAATTTAGGCCAAAATGCATTCTGCGACATGCTGAAAAGAAAAAAATCCCAATACGTGTAAATGAATTGGTTTACGTGAAAGTTATAGCAACTACAAATGGCGGTATAGATACTGGGATTTTTTTTAATTTTTACTAGTAATGGAGATGATCAGCGACTTATAGCGGGACTGCGGCGGACATTCTGACACTGGAGGGGGACTGACTTGGTGTCACTGACATCCCTGGTGACACCAATACAGTGATCAGTGCTAATAAAAAGCACGGATACTGTACTAATGGAACTGGGCAGGAAGGGGTTAACATCTGGGGTGATCAAAGGGTTAACTGTGTGCTGTGGGCTTCACTAAGCACACTGCTATGCAAAGCTGTGCATAGCAGTGTGCAGGAGCTGACAGGGGAGAGAATTGCAAAGTGATCAGTGCTAATAAAAAGCACTGATACTGTACTAATGGCACTGGGCAGGAAGGGGCTAACATCTGGGGTGATCAAAGGGTTAACTGTGTGCTGTGGGCTTCACTGTAAGCACACTGCTATGCAAAGCTGTGCATAGCAGTGTGCAGGAGCTGACGGGGAGAGAGAATTGCACAGTGATCAGCGCTAATAAAAAGCACTGATACTGTACTAATGACACTGGGCAGGAAGGGGTTAACATCTGGGGTGATCAAAGGCTTAACTGTGTGCTGTGGGCTTCACTGTAAGCTTTGCATAGCAGTGTGCATGAGCTGACAGGACAGAACTGCATGGTTTACAAAAATTTCTCTCCCTCCATCTGTAATCCTCCTCAATCACCGGGTGTCGGCGAGTAATCATTGGCCAGGACCTGGTGATTGACAGCCGAGGCCATGAACAGCAGTGCGGGTAGGGTTTGCGCGTGCCCCCTGCCCGGAAATGCAAAATCACAAATATATACGTGATTTTGCGCACCCGTGCCGCCCTGTAGCAGTATTACTGCTATAGGGCGGACGGGAAACGGTTAATAACTGAGATCATACTCCTGTACTTATGAATATAGCAAACAATAAAGGACACAATTTAATGAAGCCAACCATCGATTTAAAAAAGAAAATACCAAATGTGGCTATTGGATGACACGAAGTGTCCTAAAAATTAGACATTTATTTGAAGACCGGAATTATGTAGCCGGAGCACCCTCCTAGTTGGGTATCTAGGGAAATGTAGTTTTCGGCTCACTCTGTAGTCAGAGGAGTTGGACTGTCTGCTGTGGCTCCAAAAGCTGTGGGATTGATCGATTCCCCCTCCTAGGTCTGTTGAGAAACTTCCAGTTCTTGCGGTTAGAAGGTACAAATCCTCAGCTTGAATATTTACTACCCTGTTCCTAATCCCTGGGGAGGTGTGCCCAGTTGGTGGTCAGAGAGGGGGATAAGTAGACTGAAACCTGGGAAGAGGAGTTAGTTGGTTCCTGGTCCTACCTACCTGCAGGGGCGTATTTAATTAAGGCATTTGCCTAGGACGGCATTTTTCAAGGGGTGCTGCTGCCCCTCAGAAGAAGGGACAGGCATGGCATGGGACCAGGTGAAATCCTAGAGAGGCTTCAGGCTACTTGACGGTGCATGCGGAGCCTGAGTCTCATTTCCAAGGAAGGCCAGAACTGTGAAGGTGCGTGTAAGTGCCTCTCTCTTGCTGTGAGGGAGGGGGTAACAGCAGATGCTAACATTTTGGGGGTGTTTGTGGATGTATGGGGAGTGGTGGTAGGTTCTCTCGGGCAGGGGAGGAGGTGGTGCCTGGTCCTATCTACCTGAGGGATGGACTGCTAGTGTTTCAGGGGAGTTGCTTGTGGATGTACGGGGGGGGGGGGGGGTGGTGGTGGTAGTGGCAGGTTCTCTCAGGCGGAGAAGGAGGTGGTGCCTGGTCCTATCTACCTAAGGATGGACCGCTAATGTTTTGGGGGGGAGTTGCTTGCGGATGTATGGGGGGAAGTGGTAGTGGTAGGTTCTCTGCAGGTGTGGGAGGAGGTGGTGCCTGGCCCTATCTACCAGAGGATGGACAGCTAACATTTTGGGGGAGTTTCTTGCGGATGTATGGGGGGGGGGTGGTGGTAGTGGCAGGTTCTCTCGGGCCAGGGAGGAGGTGGTGCCTGGTCCCATCTACTTGAGGATGGACTAATAATGTTTTGGGGGAGTTGCTTGCGGATGTATGAGGGGGTTGTAGTGTCAGGTTCTCTCGGGTGGGGTAGGAGGTGGTGCCTGGTCCTATCTACCTGATGATGGACTGATAACATTTTGGGAGAGTTTCTTGCGGATGTATGAGGGGGTGGTAGTGGCAGGTTCTCTCAGGCATGGGAGGAGGTGGTGCCTGGTCCTATCTACCTGAGGATGGACTACTAATGTTTTGGGGGAGTTGTACGGGGGGGTGGTAGTGGCAGGTTCTCTTGGGTGGGGGAGGAGGTGGTGCCTGGTTCCTATCTACCTAAGGATGGACTGCTAACGTTTCAGGGGAGTTGCTTGTGGATGTATGGAGGGGGTGGTAGTGGCAGGTTCTCTTGGGCATGGGAGGTGGTGATGCCTGGTCCTATCTATTTGAAGATTGACTGCTAACATTTTGGGGAAGTTGCTTGCGGATGTATGAGGGGGAGTGGTAGTGGCAGGTTCTCTCGGGTGTGGGAGGAGGTGGTGCCTGGTCCTAGCTACCTGAGGATAGACTGCTAACTTTTCAGGGGAGTTGCTTGCCCCTGGAACCATCCATGATTGGCTGCTGGACTATGGATAGAACCCTTCTAATTCTGGATCTTTCTCCTAACTGGCCTGTGAGTAGAGCTTGATTACTAATCTGCAGACTCCATGGTCCCCAGCTATGGATAGTGACTGTTCCAGTTGTCCCAAAATTGTAGTTCTCAGCTGCAAGAGTGTTGGGCTGCCCTGTTCTACTTAAACTGTGCTATAAACCCTTTGTGTTCATGGTCTACGGCTGTGAACAGAGTGACTGCACTGCAGCTGCAGAGAAGTGTCCTCAGTGTTTTGGAGTATCTTGTTCCTCATTGTTCTCCTCCTTCTTCTGTTTACGTTCTACAGCAATCAACCTCAAAAAGACATCCCCTGAACTGTTTTCTGAGGCGGTGTGAGTAAACTGTGTGCTGTATGCCTGCCTCTGCACTGAATTGGAAAGAACTTGGAGAGATCCAATGGCCTCTTTTGGGGGGGCTCGTAAATCCATGATTTCTTAGAGTGCATGTGGTCATTAGCAACCATCAGTGGACCTGAAGCTGGAATACTATGGGGATTGTCTGTTATATGTCCATGCAAAGAGAAGGAGTTGGGCTTGCTTCATTGCTCTGAAATTACTTCTAATGCTGAGGAAACGACTGAGGCATTTTGCGCTGGAAAGCATGGAGTTAATCCATGCAGCAGATGTGGAGAGAGCTTCTGGTACCAGAAAGACTGGGAGGAGAGGCGGAGCTGTATGTGTACATCCGATAAGTGGTGTGCAGAACAGAGGTGCATGTGGATGTGACCACACCAAGATGGTGCACACGTTTTGGTTTTTTGGAAGTTGGGTGGAGATGGTGCCCAGAACAGATATGTTGGTGGGGCATGTGGATCAATTAACCGAGTGGCTGGAGCTGATGGTGGACACAAGATTGTGGCTTGTCCACAGAGGCTGCTTCCTGCTTGGGAATGTGGATGGAGCTGAGCGGCTGTGTTTAGTATGTGCCAATTGTAAAAGAACAATGGTGCTGGTGAGAGCGTGGCTTCGCTGTGGACACTGTACTGAACTACTATGTGGAGGTTCTGTAGCATTTTCAGCTGGCTGGAATGCCCTATGGTGCAGTGAGCATCTCAAGCACTCTGCAGCAGGAGAAGGCTGATTGGACCTCAGGGCCGAGACTGAAGTCTGAGAGCTAAACCTCCAACCATGGGAGAGGAGCCATCAGGAGGGAGCTGGATGCTTTCATATAAAACAAGGTGGAGCACACACTGGAGAAGACAGCAACAGTGGTCATCCCAGTAGCCTGTATAGAAGAGTAGGCAGAAGATGTCAAGGGGCCAGGTGAGTCTGCTAGGGAGGA